AAGATTTGATGTCTTATATAGGCAAAGTATATGTGTGTATTATAACGCGGGAAAATAAGGGGAGATATTGGAGGATATAAGAGCAAGGGAGATCACGTAGTATAATTGGAGGCAGGGATGGGAACGAATATGCAAGTATAAAATGAATCATTTGACTATGCTATTCGTTTAAACAGAAACATTATAATTGACACGTATGAACATTTGTATTAAAACAGAGTAATATTACATTATATCTATAAACACTTGACCATTTATAATATTCTTGAAATTCCGCAATTTTCGCGAATTTGTACCATTTTGTTTGGTATTTATCTTACTCTGTCTTAGCATTTCTTTGTTAATTAAAACCATTTTAATCCAACCATTCATCGTTTGATTTGATTAAACAATCTCCGTTTGCTATGAACAAAAATTAGAAGAGCAGTTTTTTTCACGTTATTATGCCAATCACTTAAAAAAAATATGTGGAGATTTCTAAAAATTAGTTTTTGATTTTTTTAGCATTCTCAAATTCATTTCTCAGCGTTTTATATTCTAAAACCAATTTCAACTTTTTCATATTAACTTTTCTTCCATAAATCAGTTTTACAAATATTTCATTTAATTGCTTAATGCTTTTTCAATACTAAATTTTCTTCAAAAACTACCACCGAACAATTTGAAATCAAAAAATGTTGTAGGAAATGATATACTTTTATAATGTTTTTTCTTTCTTTTTTTAAAATAGCTGACATGATAATAGGAAAGAAATTGCTCTTTCTTATCAATTATTCAATCAAAATTATTCCAAAAATGACACTTATTTCTTATCCTCAGCATTGCAATTAACTTCTGTTTCGATTTAAATAGGAATAAAAGTATTAATTTTAGATATATGCAGGGACTCGAAGTATGCATAGCTAATTAGATGTAGCGTACTAATACTACTACATCTAAAAATTATATTTTCATCCCAAATTATGCAAATAATTTTATTCTGATTATTTCAAGTAAACATTGTGATGCTGATTTTTTTCTGGATAGATTTGTAATGAAATTAAATTTAGCATAAAAAAGTATTGCAAGAACAGAAAAGGAAAATACTTAGGAGCAAAAGATCCAATTCATCCATACATATAAGCGTATTATCGTCATTGTTAATACCACTCTTATTTTTACTCAATCCACTTTTCCATCTCAATATATTTGTTTATTTACCAATAATCATCACAAAAGTTTGTTTTCATTTCAATCTGATACTCATTCACTTAAAAAATAATTACTCAAACACTATACATGTTTTATTTCTTCCTCTCCACTCTCTCTTCCTGAAAAATTCCCCCTCTTTTGAGTAATGAAACTCTCTTCTAAACGAGATGAACAGAATTAGAGAGTAATCCTAAATGAAATATTTTTCTTTTTTATTCCTTTAAAAAGCAAAAAAACAATTACTCTAAAAAGCTTTAATTCTGATAGTATTAGCTATTTATTGTATGCCATGGAAAACAATTTTTGTTGTTAATTCGCTATTGCACGCATTCAACCGAATAATATTTTTAATTAAATTTTTCACTCAGTAATTGAAATATCTCAAAAAATTATTTGTTGAAAAATGGTTCCGTTAAATGACGGTACACATTTCATTTTTAACTTATATTATTTCTAAAATGCTTCCTATTTTTTGGAATTCCATTTCCGTTATGTTAGAGGCAATACACAAAAGCATTGCTACTCCTCTCTCTCTCTCTTTCCAATAATCTTAATCTTTGGAAAAAAGATCTTTTTTTTCTTTTGTCAATTTATAGTCCTTTAAAATACTTGAAGTTATCAGCAAAATTTCAACAGAATATGATACGTAAATTTTCTAATTTATTTTTTAGGAAAAATGGTGAGGATTTAGTCAGGCATGTAACAGATTAAAATGAAATCTGTGAATCATTTTAATTTACAGCAACCATTTTTGGCATGCTATTCGACTTCAACAATAAAACAATTTCACATTTAAAGATATTATGCCTTATTCATTGTTACTGATAAGTTCAATTATTGCTTCAGGGCTTCAGCAGATGGATTTGTGATTCACTTTCAAGTTCCATTTCACGTAAACGAAACAAATTTTCTGATCTCGTGTCGCATTAAATTGTTAATTATTACAAATATCTGCTCAGAATTCTGCTATCAGCACATTTGTTTTTTCTCAATTGTAGCTTTACCAAATCAAAAAAATATTTATATAATTCTAATGGATGTCGATTTTCGCGATACCTGGTTACGTCATCGAAAATCCCATCAGTCCGGATCGGTATGACATTTTATGCATAATGCATTCAGTTTAAATTCGTTATTGATATTGCAATTCAATTTGATTCATTCAAATATGATATGGCAATTCATTTCATTCAATATTTTTATCATTTTTGTATATAATCTGAAAATCTTTTTTAGTTGCAAACTTTTGTTGCGAAGAAAACGAAAATCGCATTCATATTTAAATTCCAGCAATGATAATAAATGATTTAACTATGTGATAAGAAAAAAAATTGAAGAATTTCAAAAATGTAATTATAGCGGGCGACATTACCCAACGAAGCACGCTATTCGTTGCGACGATGGGTTTTTAAGCAAAATATTGTTGAAAAGTATCAGCAATTCAATCAGTATCGCTTAATGCAAGAAATTGGACAGGTAACAAAATAGTCTAACATTTCTCAATTGTTAAATTACAGTTTAACATTTATTTTTAACTTCCAACTTATTTTGTATTCAAATTTTAATTACTCAAAGAAATGTTCATGTTGATTAAATTATTGAAGATTTTTGCTAACAAAATTTGCTCCGAAATCATTCTTTAATCTTTTCTTTACGATGGATTAATTAGCATTATCGTTAAATGAAATTTCATTTTGATGAAATTTTAATATAAAATCTCTTGGGTTGTCTTTATTCGCAAATTTCTTGCCTTTTTTTGAATTTATTGACAATTTCAGGGTTCACATGGAATAGTGAAATTAGCTTACAACGAAAAAGATAAAAATTTATACGTATGCTTTTCTTGCACTTATTTCAAAATCACAAAAATGACATGAAAATGCAATAATTTCTGAAAAGATCAAATAATGATTATAGAATAAGTTGGAGAAAAAAAAATCTTTTTGCAGTATTTTCATTATAAGCTGTTGAAATATGAAAAAATGTGGGAATAAAATTGTAAATTATAACGATTCAGCTTAATTTGTTTAAAAAAGTCTGTATTTTTCTTTTTTTGATTAAACCTTGTTTTTTTAGAATTAATAATAAAAATTTTAGAAATAATAACAAGAAAAAATTTGTGAAATGGATTTCAATATTTGCGAAAGGGGGAAGAACAATTCAAATTTTGCTCAGTTTTTATTGCAGGCGTTAAAAGTGGTCGATAAGATGAAATTGCTCAAAAATTTTGCATATTTCCGTATGTTGCACATATCATTTTCACTTTTTTCAAATGTTTGAAAATTAAAAAAAAATTTATCAACTGATTATTTTTGCAGGTCCTCCACCGACACGTCGGATGAAGAATTGTCCGTCATTTCTGCGTGAACCGATACAAGCTGTGCAACGTGAAATTGCAATTCTGAAAAAGCTTAATCATCCTAATATAGTGAAACTTATTGAGGTAAATATTACAGATTTACTCATCTCAAAATATAATTTTTTATCAAATGTTTGATTTTTATTGTTTTTTTAAATTTACAAGAGAAAATGAGAGTTTTTCTCAAGGAGAGCTAAAAATAGATAAATTTAGAAGTTGAGGAGAAATCAAAACTGTCTGTAAGGAAGTAGGAAATTTAATGTTCGCAATGCGAAATCTTGGAAATTGATGAATGCGCACATTTGAATTATGAAAGGGTAACTAAGAAAATAGTCAGTGTAAGTTATTTTTAGGTATTAAACAATCCAAATGATAAATATTTCTATATGGTTTTCGAATTACTTGAAAATGGGTAAGTTAATTCATACAAATGTTCAAAATCTAATTTACAGGTCACAAAAAATATGATATTTTCAAGTTCCATTAATTACCGCTAATATTACCAACTTATGCAAAATTTTTGCCGTAATAAAACCTAAATTTGATTCATTTTTGTTCACATTGTTCTGATCATCAATGAAATTGCCTCATAATTGACGAATATCATTGAAAAGTATTTTTTAGGCCTGTTTTAGAAATTCCAACAGAAAATCCATTGGATGAACGAATTGCGTGGTCATATTTTCGTGATGTCGTCAAAGGGCTCGAATATCGTAAGAATTCCTTCATTCTTTTTTCCTCCAATGCTATCGAAAATTTAATAATTATCATTTTAGTTCATTATCAGAAAATAGTTCACCGCGATATCAAACCGTCGAATTTGTTACTCTCGGAAACAGGTCACGTTAAGGTTTGTTGTTTGCTATTTTTTAAGTTTTATTTTAAGTTAGCAATATTAGAATTAATTTCTTGCACTTTTTAATGAGTTGTTTCATTTCCTAATTGCATATGTCCAAGATATTTTTTTTTCTAAAATTCCTGTAAGACATTAAAATTTTAAGTTTCTTTTCTCAGTGCTTTGCAACTTTGCAAATTTCAGATATCAGATTTTGGGATTTCCTACGAATTTCAAGGTATTGATGCATTTTTGTCCGGGACCGCTGGAACGCCGGCATTTATGGCACCCGAAGCGCTCACAGGCTTGTCAATTTTTGGAAATGTTGAATTTTTGAATACATTTGGGTGCAGTCTAAGTATAATGGCTGAAATACCACATCTTCTACTGTGATCAATAACCTGTTCCAGCCGTTAATTGCAATTGTAATCGAAGATGATGTATTCTTCTGATACCTTAAGTTTCATGATTTCGATATTACGTTGTTATCTTCAAAATTAACTTTCAGAAGACTCATCGTGTTTCTACAGCGGTCGAGCCCAGGACATCTGGTCTTTAGGTATCACATTGTATGCTTTCGTCTATGGCACAGTACCATTCTGGGATTCATATGTGATAGCTTTGCATAAAAAAATAAAAAACGATGCTGTTAGTTTCCCGAGAACGTAAGTTACCAGTTATATGTTTCTTCGCACTATAATGATATTTTCAAATTTTTAATTTAAATTCCTAATTTGAAAATCATATTTTCGATGGATAAATTCAGCTAAAATAATATAAAGCAAACAGCTTGGATAGTTCTTTGTTTTTCAGGCCTGCAATAAGCAAACCATTAGAAATGCTGATTTTAAGTCTACTCAAAAAAGATCCAGCCTTGAGACTTATGATGAATGAAATTAAGGTAATCAATCTATGACCTTTTTTCCAATTTTTGATATTATTCTTAGTGAAAAAAAGAATTCAGTCGTGAATTTTAAATGTCACATTTATAAATTTTTTGATCAAAATTTGATTGAGATTTAAAAAGTTAAAAAAATAATGAATATTAATGAAACGTTAAAGTAGGCTTTTTATAATTTGTAATTTCAACACTAATAGATAATTTTATAAAAATTATTAATAGTTTCCGTTGTTTTAGGAACACGAATGGACAACACAAAACGGCCGCTATCTGATGCCTTCTGAAGCTCAAAATTGTGAACTGATAACGGTAACAAATGAGGAAATTCAAAATTGTGTACGAAACATACCACATTTGGATACATTAATTCTCGTCAAATTTATGGTACATCGTCGAAGATTTGGCAACCCTTTCAAGTAAACTCATTCTTTCAAATTTTAAGGAATTTAAGTTGGCTATTAAAATTGAATTGATCTAAAATGATTCTCAGAAGGTATTCTCAGAAATTTATGTATAAAATTTGCATGAATTCCTCAATGAGAATCAATAATTAATATTTATACAATTAATAACAATTAATTTAATTAAGAGTTATTGAGAAGAACAGCACTAACTTACGCAAGGTAGCATCAGAAAGTGATTCACTATCGATTAACCAGAATAATGAAAAGATGATCAAATTTGATAGCAGCAAGTTTGTTTCTTCTCAACACATTTCTAAATAATTGATATCCACAATATATTAAAGTCTAAAATTTCACTATAATTGAAATCTTTTTATAAATTCATAGTTCATTCTTTTCATTAGCAGTGTAGGATAGCATTAATTAACAGCTTCATTAATAAGGTTAAGTTTAACAAAATGAATTTGTTAAAAATTTTTTCGAACTGCAAAAATTGCTATACATGCTAGCTGAAGAGGTATTAAAAATAAGCATTTTGAAAAAATGTACAGCATAGGTAGATATTTGAGACTAAGACTTATTCGATATTTGTGTAATGCTATGTTGTTGTTATCCGAGTTTCAGTTCGATAGATATGCTAAATATGAAAACAAAGAATTTACTGCTGAACAACTGAAACGATCAGAAATGTGATAATGTTAATAAGTTTGCAGAATTTGCTGGTTCTAATCAATTTCATACCAGTTCTTTTTTCTGCTTTTTTATACTTGAAGCAATGAAAAATTTTTAATTTAAGCGTTTTATATTTCGTGTCGCGGAAGTCTCGAAATTTCAAGAATATTATAAATGGTCAAGTGTTTAT